ATGAGAGGAGCGAGAGGAAGAGCGGGGATAGAACGCGGCAGCAAAGATAGAGCGAGGAGAGATGAGGGGAGGGGGAGAGGAGGGGGGATAGATTACTCTTACCTCAGTCGTTTCTCATTACCAATCACCCAAGGGCCCACTCAACCACCCCCTCCCCCCCTCTTCGCAGCCAGCGCCTCTTGTTGGCCCATTTGTTTGCTTGTATATGCTTCCAAGCATTCAAATTCAGACAGGACCAGGGGGAGTCGACACTGCCAAACGAGGGGTCGTTTGACAGAGGGCTTCCCCCTAGCTTCTCCCCCACTTTTCCTCTCTGTGAGAGGCACACCTTGTTCACCCATCAATTGAGATGCTAAATGATGGGTGTGAAATCCCGAAAAATCACGTGAGCGTCTATATCTTTCGCCATCGATGATCTGACCGACGGCCCAACCCACTTACTCCTTCGGGCATTTAACTTCGACCTACCTGGCCGCAATTTCATCGTTTTTTTAATTGACACGAAATCGTGAGGTCCTACTGGCGGGAACCGCCGAAATTGCGGGCGGGACGTCAAATTTAAATGTCCAATTTAAATGTCCTGACGGCAAGTCCTGACGATTTCGGTTAAAAAAACGCCGAAATTGAGACACTGGACGTCAAATTTTTAAATGCCCAAAGGGGTTAATTCGCACTACCCCCCTTTGGGCATTTAACTTTGACGTTCCTTGCCGCAATTTCGGCGTTTTTATACCGAAATTGGTGGCTCTGGGGTTCTTACACGTGTCGGAGCAGTAGAACTGCCGCCTGCCTTCACCTGGCGCTCCTACCAATCCGCCAGCTGGGAGACGATCAACCCCACACCAAATCCATCCCATCATTTGATCTCCACCGCACGATCAGTTTCCATCCATGCCATCGCAGCTATAATACGTGTTTGCCAGTCCGTCTCGCATCTTCGGCATGACGAATTTCACCGAGCAATCTCCTCCCGCCAGGATCCAGGCCGCGCCGCTTCCCCCCCCCCCCCCCCCCCCCCCCCCACTCCCCACCCCCAACAAAAACAACCACAGCCTTGTATGTCGGCCACATCTCTGCACATATTAAGAAAACGAGGAAACCCAAAGGTCGCTGGGATACATTGTGTTCTGTTACTCGGCGATGAGCGAATACCCGCCTTCACCGAGTAGAACGCCCGGTCATTATATCACTGTATCTGAACCGCAACTTGGTCGAAATGCAGCAATCATGACCAGGCGTTCTATTCGGGCGAAGGCGGGTAGAAGTGAAAGAACAGAACCCCAGGCCGCGAACCAATAAGCTACCGAGGGAAAGATAGACAAGTAGAGGAGGAGGAGCATTCCAGTTCCTAGTCCTCCGTGGAAAAGAGGGCCCTTTGGGGGGGGGGGAGAGGGGAAAGGGGACGCGGAGAGAGCTGTGGGTAGAGAGAATTGAAGAAGTATATCTGCTGAAGAGATGCCTGAAGAGTGCGAGGGTAGATGTATACAGCAAAGGGAGGAGCAAGAGACCGATCCTCCAAAACAATGGAAGAGAGGACAGCGAGCAGCGGGAGCAGAGGACAGCTGAAGGGAAAAAGAGACGGAGCAGACAATCAACAGGGAAGAAGGGAGGTGTAGGGAGGGCGTAGGAATACATAAACAAAGCGAAATTCAGTGAAAGGGCATCATAGGAACAGAGAGGGGAAAATAGGAGTGCGTGACAACTGATGAGACGTCAACACAAGCAAACGATCGATGGATGATCCAAGCCGTACAATGGATTTTT